TTCTCTATCCTCGTCACTTCTTTCTCTTCTGTTTCACCCACTCGTTTCATTTTAATACACACTTCACCGTCCTCAACAAAGAACATCTCGTCTCCCGGATCGCCTTGTTTGAGAATTTGTGCTCCGTCCTCGTAAATTCGAGTTTTCAGCGCGTCCGCAATACTCATTCGTTCATACGCGCTAAGGCTTTCCAAGATCGGAACTTGATTCAGCAACTCTTCGTACATGCGACGTTTCTCAAACGCCTTTTTAAGCACAATACTGCGGAACACTTCGCGTGTCATGGCCCACAAAACAGCCAAAATAGTGGCTGCTCTGGGAGTGTTGTACATCAGAGCGAGTTCACCAAATGAGCCCTTGTTATCATACTTGCCGACTGTCTTCTCTTCACCTTGAATCTTCACAATAATATCATAGACCCCACTTTCAATCACGTAAAAGTTGTCACCATCCTCACCCAATGTGATCACTTTATCACCAGGGGAAACACGTCGTTCAAACATGGCATCAATAACATCCTTCATCTGGTCATCGTCCAAACAACGGAACAATAAAATGTCCTTAGTGGCTTGAGTTAAACGCTGACGTTGAGCCTCGGTTTTCGGGTGCACAACTTTGATGTTAGAACTCTCATCGTCTTTCTCCGGGTCGTAGCTCTCTGCTGCCACACCGGCCCGGCGACCCACATTTCGCGGTGGTGGAGGCATCGGTTCATCATCCTCATCTTCATCACTATCCCCTTGTTTTCGTGGTCGATTGTCAGCTGCATTTTTCTTCATGGTGAAAAATTCAATAGCGGCTTGAACCAGATCCTTGGGCTGTTCACGCAAAACGCTCACAGTGAACTCCTGTAGCAACTCCCGTAGACCGGTGGGCACTTTTATTTTCTCTGCCATAGTGATTGGATTCGGCGTGCACGTCTGAGTGCCACAGAATCGGAATGTGGTTGGTCAATCGGATCGTTTGTTTGGTTGTATGCTGTTGGTGTTGTTGTTGTTGACCGGTATGGTCAAAGTAGTTGTTAGAACTTGTGTAAGGTTTGACACACTCAGTTGATTGGTTCTTATCGTTATTCCCGGTGTGTTGACCTGCGGTTTATTGTCCACCGAAGTGATGTATACACGCGTACACGCGTGCGTCAACGTGCGCACAAGCAAGCTGCCGAAGAAGCCTACCTGTCTAGCTCACGATCGCTATCACACTCTCTGCCGTGTTCGGGAGTGAGATACACACAGGTCCTTGGGAAGTGCGTTCGTTCGGATAAATGGATAGATAGACAGACGGACAGGCGGGTACGGACTCTTCGACCAGTTTGGACGCAAGCAGCCAAATAGCCGGTCTGCCCTGAAAGGAAACCAGAGAGAGAGAAATGATGAATGCCGAGGCACTGGAGTCATCAGCAGGCCTAAAGTGAAGTTGTACAGGCTAGGCACAAATGTTTTCCGAACCGGCCAAACAACATCTTGCCACACACACACACACGCCCGTCTGCACACAACCGCACACAAACATGCACAAACCGGGACTAGGTTTGTTGTGCACCAACTTGCCAAAGGACACTGCCCGTGTATGCCGAAAACTGAATTGCATTGTATCGCGTTGACTTGTGATACTAAACCCATTGGTCAGTTGGAATGGAAAGGACACCGGTCTGTTTTACGGAGCCCTGTTGTCCGGAATGAGATTTACCCGTTATAAACCAAGGCCGAAAAGATCGATCGTAATACCGATGCACGAGAGACAGATAGCCCTGTCCGGCTACTGACGCCTAAACCCCTCCCGAGACGAGATCCCTTCCGGACCAACCCACATCCAGACGTCAGTCAAACCAGCGTTGTCAAGGGCCTATCGGTGCACTTTTCTGGACCAAAGGACGCGCAACAGTGTGGTGTAACAGACAGTGAACGTGATTGAACAGCGGAAGAGCTCGGGGAATGTTGCGTCTGTTCATCAGACAGACTAATCGGAGTTTTGA